AAAGCAGAAGTGTTATAAGAAGAGTAGAGTATATGGAGAGTAAAAGAATGGTGAGAGAGTGCAAAAGGAGAGCAGATGATAGTGTGGGGAGTGGAGTGAGTTAAACAAGTTAAGAAAGCCTAGTGAACGAATGGATTTGTCAGTTAAAAACAGTAGGGGAGTTAGTAGATGGGGAGATGGAGGTTTTGGGTAGATGGCGAGAATATTTTGAGGAACTTTTAAATGTCGACGAAGAAAGGGAGGCGGTAATTTCATGCACTGGACAGGGAGGAATACCATCTTTTAGGAGTGAAGAACAGGCTGTGAGTGTGGAGGTGCATGAGGCATTACGTAGAATGAAAGGGAGTAAAGCAGCTGGAACTGACGGGATCATGACAGAAATGTTAAAAGCATCGGGAGATATAGTGTTGGAGTGGTTGGTATTTTTGTTTAATAAATGTATGAAAGAGGGGAAGGTACCTAGGGATTGGTGGAGAGCATGTATAGTCCCTTTATATAAAGGGAAGGGGGACAAAAGAGATTGTAAAAATTATAGAGGAATAAGTTTACTGAGTATACCAGGAAAAGTGTACAGTAGGGTTATAATTGAAAGAATTAGAGGTAAGATAGAATGTAGGATTGTGGATGAGCAAGGAGGTTTTAGAGTGGGTAGGGGTTGTGTAGGTCAAGTGTTTACATTGAAGCATATATGTGAACAGTATTTAGATAAAGGTAGGGAAGTTTTTATTGCATTTATGGAATTAGATAAGGCATATGATAGAGTGGATAGGGGAGCAATGTGGCAGATGTTGCAAGTAGTATATGGAATAGGTGGTAAGTTACTAAATGCTGTAAAGAGTTTTTATGAGGATAGCGAGGCTCAGGTTAGGGTGTGTAGAAGAGAGGGAGACTACTTCCCGGTAAAAGTAGGTCTTAGACGGATGTGTAATGTCACCATGGTTGTTTAATATATTTATAGATGGGGTTGTAAAAGAAGTAAATGCTAGGATGTTCGGGAGAGGGGTGGGATTAAATTATGGGAAATCAAATACAAAATGGGAATTGACACAGTTGCTTTTTGCTGATGATACTGTGCTTATGGGAGATTCTAAAGAAAAATTGCAAAGGTTAGTGGACGAGTTTGGGAGTGTGTGTAAAGGTAGAAAGTTGAAAGTGAACATAGAAAAGAGTAAGGTGATGAGGGCATCAAATGATTTAGATAAAGAAAAATTGGATATCAAATTTGGGAGGAGGAGGAGTATGGAAGAAGTAAATGTTTTCAGATAGGGAGTTGACATGTCGGAGGATGGATTTATGAAGGATGAGGTTAATCATAGAATTGATGAGGGAAAAAAGGTGAGTGGTGCATTGAGGTATTTGTGGAGACAAAAAAAGTTATCTATGGAGGCAAAGAAGGGAATGAAATTAAGACACATGTGCAACATCTGGGTATCTTTATTGTAGACGTTTCGCCATCCAGTGGCTTTATCAATACAAATTCTAGGACATAACTTGAAGACAGTAAGACTATGTACAGAAGATGAGGTAATCAGTCCCTCAACCTTGGAGTAGGTGCGAAGAGCACTGTAGTCGTGGAGATTCTCCACTGTAGTCGTGGAGATTCTCCACGACTACAGTGCTCTTCGCACCTACTCCAAGGTTGAGGGACTGATTACCTCATCTTCTGTACATAGTCTTACTGTCTTCAAGTTATGTCCTAGAATTCGTATTGATAAAGCCACTGGATGGTGAAACGTCTACAATAAAGATACCCAGATGTTGCACATGTCTTAATTTCATCTTGTCGGTATTATATACCATTCTTGCACAAAAAAGGGAATGTATGAAAGTATAGTAGTACCATCACACTTATATGGGTGTGAAGCTTGGGTTGTGAATGCAGCAGCGAGGAGGCGGTTGGAGGCAGTAGAGATGTCCTGTCTAAGGGCAATGTGTGGTGTAAATATTATGCAGAAAATTCGGAGTGTGGAAATTAGGAGAAGGTGTGGAGTTAATAAAACTATTAGTCAGAGGGCTGAAGAGGGGTTGTTGAGGTGGTTTGGTCATTTAGAGAGAATGGATCAAAGTAGAATGACATGTAGAGAGTATAAATCTGTAGGGGAAGGAAGGCGGGGTAGGGGTCGTCCTCAAAAAGGTTGGAAGGAAGGGGTAAGGGTGTTTTGTGGGCGAGGGGCTTGGACTTACAGCAGGCATGCGTGAGCGTGTTCGATAGGGGTGAATGGAGATGAATGGTACATACAGTGGACCCCCGGTTAACGATATTTTTTCAATCCAGAAGTATGTTCAGGTGCCAGTACTGACCGAATTTGTTCCCATAAGGAATATTGTGAAGTAGATTAGTCCATTTCAGACCCCCAAACATACACGTACAAACGCACTTACATAAATACACTTACATAATTGGTCGCATTCGGAGGTGATCGTTATGCGGGGGTCCACTGTATTTGGGACCTGACGATCTGTTGGAGTGTGAGCAGGGTAATATTTAGTGAAGGGATTCAGGGAAACCGGTTATTTTTATATAGCCAGACTTGAGTCCTGGAAATGGGAAGTACAATGCCTGCACTCTAAAGGAGGGGTTCGGGATACTGGCAGTTTGGGGGGATATGTTGTGTATCTTTATACGTATATGCTTCTCAACTGTTGTGTTCTGAGCAACTCTGCAAAAACAGTGATTATATGTGAGTGAGGTGAAAGTGTTGAATGATGAAAGTATTTTCTTTTTAGGGGTTTTCTTTCTCTTTGGGTCACCCTGCCTCGGTGGGAGACGGCTGACTTGTTTAAAAAAAAAAAAAAAAAAAAAAACTAGGCTCATAATAGGAATTCAGTAATCTGTGAAGCAGTGCTTTTTTCAGCTTGGTCACTAAACAACAACATATAGTTTTGTATCTTGCTAAGATCTTTGAAATATGTAAAGAATTTGGTCCCAGGTACACCCACACTTTTAATTCAAGAAAATGTGCATTATTGAGTTTTGGTACTCAAGACTCTGATTGTCTAAATTGGTAGTGTTTGGATAATGTTGTATCTTCAGGTTAGCTGAAAATATTTTTTTGAAGTCAGCAAGTTGTAAGAAATTGTTTCAGATAGGCAGTTTGTTGCCGAGAATTCAAAATATGGTGGTGGTTAAATCAGTTTTTTTTGTGCTTTGTGTTTCAAGATGAGTATGATTCAGGTTAATCCAATTTTAGAATTTATATGTAATTTCATATTTCTAAATCCACAGAAGTGTATAAATAAAGTTAGAAGGTTTAGACATAAAACAAATAAAAATGAGTGTACTATTACCAGCAGTAACAGTAAGTTACCTGTTTTAGTGTTGGTAGTAAAGGATTTTCTTGGGAAGGGGAGGGGGCATTATCTTTTTTTTTTTTTAATTGTCAGTCAGTCTTGCCAGAAGTATGATGACATCACAGTTCAGATGGCCTTCCAAATTGCACCATTCTTGCATCTTCCTTAGAATGCAGGCACTATACTTAAGTCCTGGAGGTAGTAAGTCTGACTAACTAGTTTCCCTGAAACCTTTCACAAATGTTACCTGCTCACACTCCCACAGCATGTCAGGGTATAAAAACCACTTAATCTCCACCGTTATCTAACAAGACTGTTGGATGTTAAAGCCCTTAACACACGAAACCTCCTTTACCCCTTTACAAAATAATTTTTGTAATTTAATCAGTGAGGCGAGATAGGCAATGAAAACAGATGGAATTTTTAACAGTGTTAACAACTGCAATATCTGCCAGGTGTCATAAGTTTTTAATTTTTGTTTATTATAAATGTGCATTCAGTATTTAGCATTAATTAATCTTATTTTCATAACTCCTAGTTAATGAAATGTGATTATGTAATTGAAACCATCACTAGCAGCTTGCTACCAATGGTCGAAAGATATACTTCCACATATTTATATTTCTGGTATTTTCTCTTACCAGTGGCATCAGATATTATACATCACGATGGTAGTATGAGCTTCTAAGCTGCATGGGGACATGGCACTGAACATGATGCATGTAAAAATGTGGTGTAAACAGTTACATCTTCATATGTCTAGCAGCAAGTGTGGACGAGTTGCTTGATATTGATATGGAATGCCTGCTGTGGCCTTTATACCCAATGAATATTTATAACACATATTCACGATGGCCAGCTGTGTCCATGAAGGTGAGAGGCCTTTTAATAAAAACTATAGTATACAGTAATTTTAGTAACTTGCATAGGCAGTAAACTATGGATGTGGCACACTAGCCATGAAGAATGCTACTGAATGTCCCAGGTGTGACATAACATGTAAAACACATGAACATTATTTTTTTTATTAAAATTTGTGTCCATGATAATATTTGACAAATGTCTATCCAATATTTTCATTGGTATGTTATAGGTAATACATGAATTTTTCTAGACAACTCGACATCTGTGAATGTTGCAGAAAATCTTTTAATGGGTAAAACTATTGTAATGAGCACTTGTTGAGTAAGAAGCAGATGGTAATTAAGAATACCAGATAATTGATTGCCTTTCAAGTGGGACTTGATTAGTCGATACAATCCATGAAACTCTCAACGTACTTTGGTTAGCAGTTCTCAGAAGTGAACAGGATTTAATTCTACATTCCAGCAGTTTGCACATTGCCAATTTGTCTCACTCTGCCAAACATATGTTGTTTTCCAGAGATTCTTGTTTTGATGCAATCACGCACTGAAAGTTGATGGCAATAGCTTTTCTAGTACAGTGATTCTCTTAAGCTTGCATATATGGAAGAATTATGTTAATTGGGTATTTTCTTCTGTTTTCTGCTACCTTAATGATTAGGGTACCATTTGCGTATATCCAGTTTTGAAGCACATATCCTTGTAATTTTGGTGGCATGCATAACACCTGTTACTATGATCATTTTAGTCAGAAGTCCTCCCACTTCTAGTGTTAGTCCTTAAATTTGCCAATATTCCTCTTAACGATTTTATAAGTGATTGGTATATCCCTCGACTCACTTTCAGTTCCTGCGTGGAGCATCCTCGCAGGAACTGGTATGTCCTCGAGATTTTCTTGTGTGAACGCCAATGCAAAGTATGCACCTAAGGTATCTTTCATCCATTATTACTTTAAAATTATCATTCAAGGATCCTACAATGACTTTCACCTTCATGATACTTCTGGTATGTGCATAAAATTACTTGGAATTTTTTTTTTTGGGGAGGGGGAGGGGGGGATCATATAGATGCTTATTCTGAATGTTTTTTTTTTTTTTACCTACAGCTAGCCCTCCACTTTCGCGAGTTCCACTTTCACAAGCTTCGAACATTCACGAATGCCCACCCACCCAATCATATACAATATTTTATGATGTTTTCCTGTGTTTTATGATTGTTCGTGGTTCAATAAGTTAAGGAAGCAGTATTGTTAGGCTAAGTAAATGCTATTATTATTTTTTTTTTTTTATATAGCCGGACTTGAGTCCTGGAAATAAGAAGTACAATGCCTGCACTCTAAAGGAGGGTTTCGGGATATTATCAGTTTGGAGGGATATGTTGTGTATCTTTATACGTATATGCTTCTAAACTGTTGTGTTCTGAGCACCTCTGCAAAAACAGTGATTATGTGTGAGTGAGGTGAAAGTGTTGAATGATAATGAAAGTATTTTCTTTTTGGGGATTTTCTTTCTTTTTGGGTCACCCTGCCTCAGTGGGAGACGGCCGACTTGTTGAAAAAAAAAAATTGTGCATCAAAATATTTGCGAACGCTACAGTACAGTAGTATTATTATATTTCCCTACATCATATTTGCACACCAAACATTCACGAATTTTCAAGATTCACAAGGGTCTTGATCATCATATGTAGGTAGTAGGTTGGTAGATATCAGCCACCCAGGGAGGTACTACCGTCCTGCCAAGTGAGTGTAAAACAAAAGCCTGTAATTGTTTTACATGATGGTAGGATTGCTGGTGTCTTTTGTCTGTCTCATAAATATGCAAGATTACAGGTACATCTTGCTACTTCTACTTACACTTAGGTCACACTACACATACACGTACACGTTTATTTATACACACTCATCTGAGTTTTCTTTGATTTTATCTTGATCGTTCTTGTTTCTTATTACTTTTCCTTCTATATGAGGCCTGGTCACAGACCAGGCCCTGGGGCCGTTGACCCCCGGAACTCTCTCCAGGTAAATCTAACTCTTGCGAATGTGGAGGGCCTCCTGTATTTGATTTCCTGAATGGGTGCATTAAGAGATCTCTTGAAGGACGGGTGGAGATGTTGCAGTTGAGTGCAGTCTGATATACCTTTGATGGGTTTTGAAAATCTTTCTACTCCCACAGCCCAGTCCTGGCCCTGCCCTTAATTATGATGTCAGCACACTTCCGAAAAGATTGATTGAGTGGAAAATGGTGAATGTATTCTCTACTGTGGGTCACCTTGCCTTGGTGGGAAATGGTCATTAAAGATGAAAAAAAAATACAGGCTTGGGCATTTGTATATACTGTAGGTCTATTCAAATTCTGTTATCCTGAAATCACTGGGGCCGAGGGTGTTATGACATAACCAAAATTTTGCCTTAAAGCATGGGGTAATTATATTGTAAATCATTATAGCTAATGGCAGTCAGGTCATAATGTATAAGTACATATGAATGGAGGAGCACTGCAGCAGGCTTATTGACCCTTGCTAGGCAAGTTTTTCTCAGATCTAACCCTTCTCAGTTGTATATCTGTCCAATCTATTTTTAAAGCTACCCAGGGTTTATGCTTTAATGACCCTGCTTGGCATAGTGTTCCACTCATAGCAGGTATTTGGTGTGGTGTTGGCAATCATTACAACATTTATCAGTCACCATCAGGGAGAGAGAGGAAGGGCATCTTCATACATTTTCATTTGCGGTGCCAAATTTTTGTATTCTGATAGGAAATAGTTTATATAAGTAAAATAAAAATATTAGTGTAGCCTGTGTATTAGTACAGTATGAATGAGGTAATATCTGAAAATTAAGGGGCAGTATAAGACATTTGCAGATACAGTAACTGTCATTGAGGTGTTTATGAAAAGAATTCGAGTTGTCCAACAAATAAAATGAACTAATCTGAAACCACTTTAGAATTTATTTTTGTTAAATCTGTACCAATATGAATCATTTAATATGGCAGATTTAAGACTTGTATTATACATATATTTTTGCTTTTTCCAGTTCTTTTAAGCTGTTTTTGGAAGTGGAGCCCCAATTACGTGACATCATATTTAAGTTCTACGAGTCTAAATATGCTTCCTGCCTCAAACTTTTAGATGAATTAAAAGTAAGTAAAAGTAATTCTGTTCAAGATTGTTGTGTTAACCATTAAACTCAAATATTTACATATTGTACCTAATAATCTAGCTTATTTTATATAGGCATAGTTAACCCTTTCACTGTCTCTTTCATAGATCTATGTTGATGCTAGGGCTGCTTACATAGGTCTATGTTTTGAGCTTGCCTCCTTCAGATAAGCTGTGAGCAGTGAATTTTGGCACAGTATAAAAAATAAAGCCAACCATTGGCCATGTGTTTGGATTAAAATAGCAATTTTGAAGCATTTTCCAATATACTTTTATGGCTATGTGGCTATTTCTTGACATCATTTGATAGAATTGAAGACATACTACCAAGGTAGAGTTGATTTTGGGTAGTTTCAGAACTGGAAATAGTATGAAATTGGGCTCAAAGTAACAAAATATTCAATTTTCGATGATTTTCCAAGGGACAGGTAAGGCCCCCTACACCCCACAATCTGTTTTATGGGTTTTTTGCTATATGATTGAGTTATTGGGATATCATAAACCATGGCCAATCATTCCTGGTTATATTTTATCTGAGAAATACGGTAAATCTTCAGTAGAATAGAAGGTATAAATTGGCTAAGAATTTGTTCGAATTGAGCAGTAGAATTAGCAAACCGACGCATAAATTGCCCCCAGACCACTTATTGTACCTATGTAAACCATAAGTTTTCCATCAGATTTCGTATTTCTGGCGTCTTTACCTTCACAAAAAATTCTTTTCCATTTCGGAAGAATTTTTTTTTTTTTTAATACAAAGACTGAGCATTTTTAATTTCTGGGTTTCTGACAGTGAAGGGGTTAATAAGATTTGCTGCTTAATATTAACCCTTTCCTGTCTAAATTTCTCTACATTATTGACACCAGCATCACTCGTAGATATAAATTTTAAGCACAGGGCCTCAAATATGCTGTGAATGGTACATTTTGGCCTAGACATGAGATAATTGTAGTGAGTGTGCATGGTATAAAAAAAAATCCTGTCCCATGCAGTATATGATGAAAAAAGAACCCCTTACCTTATGTTTGAGTTAAAATACAGTAGTGACTTTGAAGTGTTTTCTAGGACAGTTTTATTAGCCAATTTTTAGCATCTGTTGATTGAATGGAAAACATAATACTGTATTGAAATAGATGTGATTTTCATTGGTCTCAAGACCTGAAGTACAGTGGCTTGAAATCGAGCTCAAAGTAGCAGAAATATTTGCTTGACAGTTTACCTGAGGACAGGAAAGGCTTCCATCCCCCAGTTTGTTGTATGGATTTTTCCCAAGGAATAGCACAAACCCCACTACCTTTGCTGGGTCTGTTGTATGGGTGTTTATTTTTTGTGTGGTGACAGATTGAAAATGGAGGGCAAATGTTATATAGGTGAGGCCTGGTGACAATGAACAGAAGAAAGGTTGCTTTAGTGGCCAGAATGCCTATGGTGTTTATTTTAGACTGTTATTAATTTGGAATTTGCAAGAAATTATAGTTACATCACCATTGATAAGCTTTTTGTGAATACGTACTGTATTTAAAGATAAACATAATTATAAGCAAAGAAATCTTATAGTGCACTGTTTAAGAATGATTGTACCTTGTCTTTCAGGATATTCTGATGTTGGACATGTATCTTGCACCTCACCTAAACACGCTCTACACTCGTATTAGGAATCGCGCACTTATCCAATACTTCAGGTAAGTCCAAAATACATTCTGAGAATGACCCTAAAATTTTGTTCTTCATATTTATTCCATCTACATGTGAGTATTTATTCCATCTACATGTGAGGCACATTAAAATCACAAAGATCAGCAAAGAAATAATAATTTAGAATGATACCTGATTGTTTTCAGGATTTTTCTGTTCCTTAATAATTCGATTTTGAGAATCTATTAAGCATTCTTTTGTGTAAATAAGAGACGACATTGGGGTTCCTGTCTATATTCGGACACTTCCTCATTTAAGCCACTTCCAAATAAGGGATATTACTGTATATCATGTACAGTTATAGTGGTTAAAATACCTTAAGGCAAGCAGTGCTGTTCTGGAGTTATTGCTTGAATAACATAACTGAGGGCAAATATGTTGGCAAGTGACATTTCTGAAGCCATGAAAAATTGTGAGTACTAGAATGTAAGATACTTAAAAGGTTAAACATCCATAGTGACATTACACATACTTGTCCTGGATAATAATATTCCTCTGTCCTGCATATCCTACCCTTTGGCTAAGTATCCTCGTAAATGCTCTTTACTGCTTTAAGTAACCTACCACCTTATCCACACATTTGTAACTGCCAGGTTGCTCCCCTATCCACCCTATTGTATGCCTTTTCTAAGTCATAAATGAAATGAAAATCAGTTCACTTCTATGAAGTGAAGGTCTGTCAGTCCTAAATTTAGTTTAGTAACAGTTTGAAAAAGTCTTGGACACAACCCAAACATTTTATAATATAGTGCAGTAGTCTCCCGTATCCATGAGTGATACGTTCCAAGACCTACCATGGATACCTGAAATTGTGGATGGTAGCAAACCCTATATATGTCATTTTTCGTTTACACACATACCTATGATAAAGTTTAATTAATAAATTAAGTCGAGAATTATAGTACATTTTCAATAATAGGAAGCACTTCACAGCATTTCTTAGGCTTTGAAGAAATGCCAGTACATCATACTTTTGTACTTTGGGGCCATTATTAAGCAAAATTAAGGTTTATTTTTGGACCACGGTAAACTGTGGATAACTGAAATCGTGGAAACCGAATCCTTGGATACGGGGGTTCAACTGTACAGTATTTATAAAAATGAAAAATCTCAAAGTATTGCACCATTTATAATGCCCCTGGCATTTATTAAACCTGTCTGTCTAGCCATCCAAAAGAATATTAATAAGACTTTTGTATATTAAATATTCTGTTAAGTCTTCTCCATTAGAATCTGTTTTTGTACACCAGTACTTTCAAATTCATTCATGCTAAGCATGGTCACTAATTATTTTAGAGGTTATTATAAATGTTATGCATACTGAAAGTATTAATAATTTTTAGACTGCTGCTGTAGCATTTAATAATTGTCTTTCTCTGCCTTCCAATCAGTCATTTTTCCAGCATTATCTTCTTGCATATTCTGCTTAATCCTTTGTCATATTTATATATTACTACTGTTTTCTCAGGATTTAATGAATTATGCTAACATACATTTAAATCCAGTACAAGAAGATACAAAGGTCACTGCACCTATAGTCCTATCATTAATTGGATTTAATCTGCATTGTTTAGCTTCAGTTATTTTGCTTTTCATCATCACCAACAGTCTCATATCTAACTTTGTATGAGGAGGGGGGGGGGGCAAAAGTCACTTTTCATACAGGCCCACTATTTCCTTGATTTAATCTGCATTTAACTTTTACTTAATTATTTTGCTTATCACCATCATCAGCTTCTTTTGCTACAGCCCGTACATGAGTGCGGATTTGGAGAAGATGGCTGTGGCTTTCAATACTACAATTTCTGCATTAGAAGATGAGTTAATGGCTCTAATACTAGATGGACAAATTCAGGCTCGGATAGACTCTCATAATAAGGTGAGTTTGGTTTTTATTTAGTTATTCTACATGAACTTAGGTTGAATGATATAAAGTAACAGTTTTTAAAGCAATAGTATTTTTAAGAATTAATAAGGTTTGTACTCAATGCACATTCTAATAAGGATAGGTTTATGGTGCCTTCTCACCAGGGATGCAGTCAGGAGTCCATTATGGGGGTGTTTATCTGTTCATTGTCGAGAACCCTGTCACAAATTGCTCTAGTCGAAAAAAAATTAAAAAAAAAAATTATGAAATGAATCAAGAATCTTTCCCACTGTATGACACCAAAAGTACGAAATTTCATGGAAAACTTAGGGAATTACGCTCTCACGAAGTTATTGGTCTTGGTGATATTTACGCACGCAGATTTTGGCAACTTTGAGCTATTTTCCCAATTATTGCAGCACCAAATCGTAGTATTTTCAGAAACATTGTTACGACTCGTACAAGATGCTAGGTTATATTACCCTGGTCGATTTTGGCCATTTGACTATTTAGACATGATCCAGTTCCACGACAAACCTAGGTATATTTTTAGCTTCCATTGTTATAATAAACTGCTCAGTTACTGATTTCACCTATCCAATCAAGTGATCAGAAATTGGTAATTTGGCCAATTTCATACACAATTCAAGGTCAGTTTTAAAATAGGGGCCAGAATAAACAATGCAGATATTCCTATCACTAAAATAACATTTTCTCTGTTAATTAGTCACGTCTCCAGGCCCCTCTTTTATTACGCTTGCTTTCTATTTTTATTCACACAAAAAACAGAAGATTTACTGTTATGCAGACTACTGCATTATTGTAAAAAGACATAAACAATATCAGCGCATTTGTGAAAGAATATTAGACTCGCCAGTTGATGTGTATTGGATGTGTGGAGTGATTTGTTTACTCTTGAACATTGGCAAAAATCGAACATTTCCACTATCTTGAGCGCAATTCCATGGTACTTTTAGTCCGAAAACCATTCAAAATCATCTGTTTCTGTAATATCTTCCATTCTATCAAATGAAACCAAGAAAACAAGGATAAGACCATAAATCCCTTATGAAAATACACCGTTAAGTCAATGTTTTCAACCAAAAACACGGTCGGAGTTTTTTTTTTTATTATGAACTGCGTGCTGCAGTTTTTTTTTTTTATATTGCGCACACTGACCACTCAGACCCATTCTCTCATGTGTAGGTCTACTAACTTTCTCCCGTTAGATTTGAGCTGCTAAAATTTTGGCGTATTACTACGGCACCAACAGTGAAAGGGTTAAGCCAGGATTTCAATATGGGAGCTTTAAATTCATAAACTGTTAAAAAAAAAAAAAAATTAAATACACATGGTTTTTTCAGTATGTTACCTGGAGAGAGTTCCGGGGGTCAACGCCCCCCGCGGCCCGGTCTGTGACTATCATGCTTTTGTGGTCACTGTCAACATAATAGTGGAAATTCACCATTAATTTAAAAAACTGAAAAGTAATTACATCTGGAGAAAGTTTTAGCCCCATTAGTACATTACGTATTTTGAAACCATTTTCTTCTTACTTTTTGAACAGTTCTGAACTAACACTCAAGATAGATAATTATGACAAATTACTACATTTTCAAACACTAAAGATACCCAGGTGTTGCACATGTCTAATTTTCATCTTTTATTTTATTATATTGCACCCGTTTTTTATTTCTTGAGGACATCCTGTTTTTTCTTTGTCTTATATTGCATATCAAAACTGCTTCAGGAATGATAGCCAGAAATATACAAAATTTCTAATCTTTTCATCTTGGTCATTGTTAATGATTGTATTTTTCATCCCAAATATTTCTAACAATGTTAATAAAATATTTTCAGATCTTGTATGCCAAAGCAGTGGAAGAAAGGAGTATGACTTTTGAGCGATCGCTGGAGATGGGTCGTGAACACATCATGCGGGTCAAAGGCCTTATCCTGCGTTCAGCACTCATCAAGAATCAGATTCATGTTAAGAGTCCGCCGCGGGAAGGTAGTGGAGGGGGTGGGCAAGGAAGTGGAGATGTCACTATGGCAGCTACTAACAGTTCTGCAGCTGCTCCCAGGAACTAGAATATACATGCCAGTGTCCAGGCTGTGTTGAGACTAAATCTAGGCAAAATATCAGTCTGTGTGTTTGGCCCACTATGTGTGCCACGAGAGATGAGACTCTGTAAAACTTGCTCATTCGAGTTCTATATCTACAGTGCTGTACTGTACTGAGTCATTTCTTGTTCAATATGGCAAAAGATGCGTGTTTGTGAAAATATTCACTCGTGACAGTTATGCAGGAGTTCTGTGACACTCTTGCCTGTTTATTTGAAGCACGATCTAACACAACATCCAAGTGTGCTTAGTCCTTTGTGTGGTGATCACTGACTTGTGAACACTAGCAAATGAACCTCAGGAGGTCTGAATTATGTATATCTATGCTATTTACTTGGTGTTCGTTATACCACATTGTATAGTAAAACACAACCAAGACAAATTCAAGTGCTCACATAAACTACAGTGCGTCATTAAAGTGAATAGCCAAAGCATCAAATCAAGATTATAAACTGCAGCATTTGTGATTTAACACCATTATTAAATTTTTATGTAGAATGATGTGCTGTATTTTATATGTAATTTTTTTGAGTTGATTGCTAACTAATTTAAAAGAAAGGTTCTGAATTGACATAGTTATAAATTTTGTTTAGTACGAGTTTCTGAAAGGGATTACAGTTAGTATTTTTTTTTTTTTGTTTAGGGACCATTACTAAAAAAAAAAAGTGGCAGTGAACTGCAGGTTTTTGACTAGTCTTGTCACTGTGTGTGTGTGTGTGTCACAAATGCTGCTAATACAACAATATAATTGGTTATTCATGTGTTCTGTAGCTTGTGTTATAGCTCCCATTACCTGTTGCCTATTTATTGCGTTTGAAAATTTTTGGTATTTACCTATCATCATGCACAGACCAAGTCACTAGTCTAGACTTTTAAGTCAAAGTTTTGTTTATTAAATTGAGAGTTCAGCAGGAAATACAGGGTTGTCACATTCTGTAATTTTTGTTATTTTATAATGCAGCAAGTACATATATTTACTAGTAAGAAATGCAGTGTTCCTAAGAATTTTGCAGCTGCCTTGGAAGTTACAGTGGCCAGTTATCTATAGGGTTTTACTCTTCAGTGTAATGCTTTGAGATTCTTAATCACAGTGTATGCACAGAAGATCATACATAGTGTATTACCCAATGACATGCTGATTCACTGTTTTGCACCCTCTAACCAGGTTGCCCAAGTCCCCTCGAAGTCTAAGGACATCTGGTTTTAAATGACTCAAAAAAAAATTGAGAAATTGATTTAAGCCAAATAATCTTTGCTCTTGCATCAGCACTGCTTGAGGCTTGCCACCAGTGTATATGTTGAGGAAAAGAGAAGCAGCATCTCACTTTAACGAATTTAAAATCATCCTAAGGATCCAGTCACAAGCTGAGAAGTGGTCTTAAAGGAGAAACAGAAACTTCTCCATCCATATTAATTGTGCAAACCTTCACTTTGGGCTGCAGTGTTAAGAGTGGCTGGGGAAAAAAAAAGGTGATTTTCTATTGAGAATAGTAAAATAATAACACTTACCAGAGTTTTTCTTGCCTTAATTTATAGAATTTATTAAATTGAAACTAATTGATGCCATCTCTAGTGAAGTAAAGTTTCTTTGATATTTTTTGTTGTGTGTATCAACAGATTTTCTGTGACCAATAAATTCTTTCACTAGCAAGGACTAAGCTCGTACAGTGTACTGTAATTTTTCTCTTGGAGGCTTAACTCTTATTTGTGGGAGAGAATTTAATCTGTTGATGAATTAGGCTGCACGTGCCATGGCAGCTAGCACCACGCAGACTACCACAAGTTTGCTATGCATGGCTCGAATGTATTATTTGTCACATTGCCAGCTTTGGTGAGACTTGATTTGCTGTACTGTACTTGGATTGTTTAGCGCTTCCCCCTTGATTATAATAATAATAATGTACTTGGATTCTGTTTTTTCTGGTCCTGGTGTGGTCCAGTGGTTAACCAGTATTTGGTACAAGGTTGTGGGTTTTGCCAGTGCCTGAGTAATGAATTGTAGATACCGAAATAAAAGCTACCAAGATGAAAGGCTCATGATCCAAAGAGTTGGAGCTACCTTCTCCTTCAGATCACACTTGACTGCTTTATTTCCAAGGTAGTAAATCATGATATTTACGGAGCACTTGGACCACTTATTTTGCAGGTGCTGTATTACCCATATGGATGTAATATGTCCACATGTACAACAAAACTGAAGCAAACTACCATACTGTGCATTCTTTATAGGGGCATCCTGCACTATAGGTTTTTTTTTTTTTTTATAGGTGCATCTACCTTGACAAGCTGTATAGAGATCAGGACATGGGTCCTGCTAATTGTTTTTGGTTGATCCACACCAACAACAAATTCTCAACATCGAGTGTTTGCGATCTCTTTTTTTGATCTTTACTATAATCCGTAAGAGTATAGACTGTTCAATGTAATATTTGCCCTTTCTCTGGATCAAGATCTCAAGGAATGTGCTTTCATGCTGATAAGGGGGTTCCTGATCCAAGGAACTGGCCTTGATCTGTTGAACTGGAATGCCTCTAATTCCTCAGGTGCTATATGGCCCTTATGGGTTTAGTTCCCCCTTCTGACTAGAATATCACATTCGAGCTGAGAGATGTGCATGTATACATCATTTTTAGCCACCTGCTTGCAGGTAATCCAACACCCCTTTCCCCCTTCCCTTGCAAGTCATGCATCACCACGTCTGTCGAGGTATTTATCAGGGCTTCTAGAATATCTTGTGATTTCCATTTCAACAGTTAACTATGTATTTCAGACTTGTCAGGGCACAAAAAATTCACTTTTGGCATCTATAACAAAGTAATGAATCTCGCCAAAACTTACACCAGTTCGTTGACTCATTAAATGGACACTACTACAATCTTGCACCCACACTAACCCCTACCATTGCAAACCCCTCATTACACTGGCTCATAAGGAGTTAGAGAATGTTTAATATAATTTGGGATTCTCTTTCAAGAGTTGTGCTTAGTTTTGATTATAATAATGCAGCACTGTATGACCCTAGTAGGTTTAGCGCTTGTCTCAGGTCAAGCGTGTTAAACTGTTAGTACACCCAACCCTGCAGCATTGTATGACCCTTGTAGGTTTAGTGCTTCATTTTTTATTGTAATTTGGATTATAATCCAGAGTGCTCTCATCAAATTATTTAATATGAGCAGGAAGGCACTAAACCTGTATGGGGACATACAGTACCTGTAGAGTATTGTAACATTCGATCCAAGGGAAGGACAGGTTCATTTCCCTGAATCAAGAGCCCCCCATTGGTATCGAGGGAACTTCCCTCAAAGGGAATGCTCGAACAAATGGACCCTGGTTTGATCCTCAGGTGGGAAATGATCATGCAAGTGTTCTTACACTTACTGCTACTGTTCATCTGGCAGCAGCGTTGACTAGATTTTGCCACCAAAGTGGCTAGCTTATTGTGCACCCCATATCCATCCTGTGGACGGTAGCGCAGGAGCATACGGATACACAAAAGGCCTAGGAACTAGGCCCCAAAAGGGGTTAAGAGGTGTACATTTGGATTTATATCTACAGTTCACCTATCTGTTACAAGTAAATTTAGGAAAGTTGCTTAGTATATCTGGTATCTTATTTTCATTAATAAGATATCTTTACATGTCTCACAGGTTATTATACTGTATATCTATATTCAACAGCGTTGTGACACATGCAAGTATAAGTATTCATGAGTTGGTCTGTTGTTGTGGGTAGCATCCTATAGAAGCTCAGCTAAAACAAGCTTTACTGTTTGCTTTTGTGTGATTATCTTGGGGCATTATTACAATATTCATGGGGAGGAGCCTGGAGAATGAGAGGTAATCAGGTTAGAACCAAAGGGAAGGGCAGCCCTTTGAAGCATGAAAGAAGGTTGCTTAATGAGATTTAAAACTTATCAGTTGTATGACCCTTGTGGGTTTAGCACTTAGTTCTAATGATTATTAAAGCTTATCTGGCTACACTAGGGTCATTAAGGCTGTATAACCTTTTCACCACCAGAGAAGAATACTTCAATCCCTAAAATAGAGATTAAGATAAGCTCTCAGCATGTATCCACCGAGAGGTATACTCTGCATATGTACTGAGAGAGACATACACCTCTTTGTAAACAATGCTGGGAGGGAAGGCAGCACATTAATTTCCCTGGTTACATTTAAATCCCGGTCGAGTAGTAGTTGAGAGCAGTTTAGGCTAGAGGGTCGTTAGTCCTTAAAGAGCGGGGAGGGGCTTGGCCATTCATCTGGACTGATTGGTCGGTGTTGTGGAGGAGCCTGACTTTAATGGTTATGGCACGCTGGATATATTACACCGTTTTAGAAAGGAAGAATGGGAAGCAGGGAACCTGGTGAGCCTTTCTTCCCCACAACTACCGTCCCTATACCATCATCCACTCGTAAACGATTAATATTTATGGAGAACCGATATTATTATTATAATCAAGGGAGAAGCGCTAAACCCGGTGGATTATACAGCGCCTGGGGTGAGGATGTGGAAGGCATTCAGGCTTAATTCGGGGAACTGGAGCACAGATTCAATTCCCTAAATCAAGAGCCCCTCACCAACATCAAGGAACCTTCCTTGAGGGGATGGAGAACCGATAAACCCGTAGGATTTTTTTTTTTTTTGGGGGGGGGGGAGGGAATGAAACCAGGAAGTAATCAGGTTTAATCCAAGGGGAGGGTAATTCCAATTTCTTGGATCAAAGAGCAACTTATCCTCATACAAGCACGTCTTATGAGAAGTGTCTGGAAAGCAGTGGACGGATAGCCTCCACTACTCCACGGGTGGAGGACAGAGCCTCCACTACTCCACAGGTGGAGGACAGAGCCTCCACTACTCTGCGGGTGGAGGACAGAGCCTCCACTACTCTGCGGGTGGAGGACAGCCTCCACTACTCTGCGGGTGGAGGACAGAGCCTCCACTACTCTGCGGGTGGAGGACAGAGCCTCCACTACTCTGCGGGTGGAGGACAGAGCCTCCACTACTCTGCGGGTGGAGGACAGAGCCTCCACTACTCTGCGGGTGGAGGACAGAGCCTCCACTACTCCGCGGGTGGAGGACAGAGCCTCCACTACTCTGCGAGTGGAGGACAGAGCCTCCACTACTCCGTGGGTGGAGGACAGAGCCTCCAATATTCCGTGGATGGAGGACAGAGCCTCCAATACTCCCTGAGTGGAGGACAGAGCCTCCAATACTCCGTGGGTGGAGGACAGAGCCTCCAATACTCCGTGGGTGGAGGACAGAGCCTCCAATACTCCGTGGGTGGAGGATAGTCTCCCAATACTCCGTGGGTGGAAGACAGAACCTCCCATACTCCGTGGGTGGAGGAGAGCCTCCAAAAATCCGTGGGTGGAGGATAGTCTCTCCAATACTCCGTGAGTGGAGGACAGAGCCTCAATACTCCGTGGGTGGAAGACAGAGCCTCCAATACTCTGTGGGTGGAGGAGCCTCCATTACTCCGCGGACGGAGAATCCAACCTCCACCACTCCAACTCTGACCCACACGGGTTCACAACTTTATCTAAAACAATTAACTACTGATGGTCTATTCTCCTTGATGCTTGTGAGAGGCTCTTGATCCAAGGAATTGAACTTGTCCTCCCCCCTTAGATTGAACCTCAGCACCTCTTGTTCCCTAGGCGCTGTGTAATTCCCTACGGATTTAGGGCTTCCCACTAAAATAATATCGAGAGTCAACGGGAGCAACTCTGATGTGAGAGAATCACTCTCCTCGGGCAATATATATACACGTGTATGTGTGTGTGTGTGTACTCGCCTAGTTGTACTCACCTAGTTGAGGTTGTAGGGGTCGAGTCCGAGCTCCTGGCCCCGCCTCTTCACCGGTTGCTACTGGGCCCTCTCTCTCCTCTCCATGAGCTTTATCAAACCTCGTCTTAAAACTGTGTATGGTTCCTGCCTCCACTACGTCATTTTCTAGGCTATTCCACTGCCTGACAACTCTATGACTGAAGAAATACTTCCTAATATCTCTGACTCATTTGTGTCTTCAACTTCCAATTGTGGCCTCTTGTTTCTGTGTCCCCTCCCTGGAACATCCTGTCTTTGTCCATCTTGTCTATTCCACGCAGTATTTTATATGTCGTTATCATGTCTCCCCTGACCCTCCTGTCCTCCAGTGTCGTCAGGCCGATTTCCCTTAATCTTTCTTCATAGGACATTCCCCCTTAGCTCTGGAGCTAACCTTGTCGCAAACCTTTGTACTTTCTCTAGTGTGTGTGTGTGTGTGTGTGTGTGTGTGTGTGTGTGTGTGTGTGTGTGTGTGTGTGGACTAATACGGAGATGAAGTCCTTTTGACAAATTACATATTATCTTTACCCCCGGTCAATCACCTGCTAACTGACGTTCCTGGCCGGTTGCAGAATACGTAAACAAAGACGAAGAACTGAATGTAAACAAAGGAGCGCCGGTCCAATAACCTTACTCGGCCAGTGGTAGATAAGTTGAGCCATATTAGGCTGAGTTTGGTTAGGTTGGGCTTGGTTTATTATATTTGTTTATAAACCATCTGCATGACGAAAACCAGTGAATAATTTTAGGAATAAATTATCGTCAGACTCGCATAAGGACCACATCTCCACAATTATCGTATTATTATTATTCACAAAAGCGGTAAACACGTGTGGATTATACAGCGCTAAGCTGTGTAATAAAAATATACAGAGTACTTTTTCTCCCACCATCAAGTAACAGTATCCATAACTGTTAACAGTGTGAAAGGTAAACCCTTGTGAACCATAAGTTGGTCACCATTATTATAATCAAAACTAAGCGCTAAACCCACAAGGGTCATACAGAGCTGCCGGTGTATCACCAGGAAGTTGAAAACTATTATCCCAAAATAATAGTATTATCTCAAATAGTATTATCCCTAAGTAATAGCATTATCTCAAAGAAAGAGTAATATCCCAAAGAAACAGTATTATCCCAAAGTAACAGTAACTCCAGCTCTGCTGGAAGGGAACTTTTGAAGCTACCGTAGCTACTGAACCCCCACAGTGGACTACAAAAGAATATCACCACCTTACTCAGCCTCGCAGTTCAGACTCGGATTTCATCACTGTTGAACCCAGCCCATGTAATGTGACTGGAAATATAGCTAGCTTTTGTTCCCACTGTGTAACTACAAAAGTAGGATAGTAGTGCACTCCTGATGTGTCCAGTTTTGTTTATATGAAAGCATTGTTGGTTGGCTAATGGGGTTTAAAGCCATTAGACATAACGAGGGTTCATTAAGGCTGCATGTAACCTTTTCAACACCAGACAAGCATACTTTAATCCAATAAATTGGGATTGAGGTAAACTCTGCATAAATACGCTCGGAGATTAACCTCCCGGGGTGTGTCTGTATATATAATTATATACATATACATTACATACACTGTGCAGTGTCGTGTGCGTGCATTGGCAAGTGTGTGTGCACACACACACACGCAGGTTTTAATTGCTACCTCTGGGGGCGTGTGCGCATATCACTCGTACAAGCCAACAATTTCCAACTTGACCTGCATGAGCTATTCAGTGCTTCGAGAATTTTCTCTATTTCTGCCACAGCGCCGGAACTTTCCGCCTGATTTTTTTATGTGCGGTCTGACTGCTGCATAGCGTAATAGTGAACAGAATATGTTGAAACTGTGGTCTGGCCACCTGTTCAGCCCCAACCGTGACGGGGAAGCTCTTAACCATAAGGGCCATATAGAACACAGGAAATGAGAGTCGGGTCTGATTATCACATTATATTCGTGGGGAAAACGCTAAACCTGTAGGGAGGGATGTTGTACAGTGCAAGGTTTGATGCAAGGGAAAGGCTAGGTCCAATTCCTTGGATCATGAGCCTCTCACACCGGCATCGAGGAACCTTCCCTGCGAGGGAGGGGAAGGAAGGGAAGGGAAGGTGTTGCCTACAAGGACTGGCTAATGTTAGTCATAGCGAGGCGTAACATTGTGTGTATTTATGTAGGGGAAGGGCAGGCAGTTAAGTTTGATCCAGAGGGAGGGAGAGCCCTTCACTAGCAGGAAGGTAGATTTCCCACAACATGCAAGAGACCACCTCAAAATTATTTGTCCTGTTAAAAAAAAATGAAAATAAAACCGACAACAAAGATGTATAATTATAATGCATTTATTAAATAGTTATAGAAAATAAATTTAAATACCATATAAATACATCAATATCTAAAGCTTGTAACTTTGTAAAGTGAAAAACTAAATTTATAAATAATTATCTAAACATTATCACTCAATATCACAGAACTAAATAAATAGTACAATTAACCACAAAAGGAATGAGAGTCCCTTCACATAAAACTGAGCCGAGTTTCCACTTATCCACATAAAAGTCCCATTCCATACATGTTATCTTGAACCCAGGTGAGGCGTCTCCACCTGCTACACCTAAACAGCAGTCGTGGGGCTACACACACGGTGCATACATCGTTGTACGTTACCCATACTAGTCTATAAACAGAGCTCGTCAGGACTTGTATTAGTGGATTTGTGAGCCGGTTTTGAGGAGTAATCATCGAAATGAAAGATTCGAATGCTTGGAACAAAGGTGTACATATGTATGGTTGAAATGTACAAGGTTATTCCAGGTCGTGAAGAAATTGGCATCGACTGCCGTACAGACAGAAACCTTTGTTGTGGAAGCTGAAGCACTGTTTGGTCCGGTACATGGGATGCCTCGGGTAGGAGCGGAGATCGAGGGATCCGTGGGCGTACAAACAGGCTTCTCCGTATCCGCAATAGCCGTTATATTGAAATGACCGGCATAGTTCGGTTTTGTATTTAGTCAGGTCGTGAGGACGACGCTTGACTGATGGTGGAGACAACGCTCTTTGTTTGCGTGAAGGCCGAGAGAGCAAGAAACTGTCGGAGGCTCGTTTTGACCAAGGCAGCTGGCGGTAGCGGTGCTCTTGTATCTTTAAAGACCGCATCAGTTCATCCAACTGTAGGCTGCTACTGAGCGACCATTCATCATCCTGTTCACTGTCATTGTTGGTAATCTTCCCTTCCTCTTCTTCCTTCTCCTCTTCAGAGTCACTCCGAAGAGTGCTGGAGAATATCAAGTCTGTGTTAGAGATCAGTGAAGCTTCATTGCACAACGACAGGTCATATCCGTCATCACCACTATTTAACCAATTTTTATTCTCTTCTGCTACGCTTCGAATATTGTCATAAGAGGTTTCAAAAACATTATAATCCACCTGACAGAAGTCACTGTGCTGAGCTGGGTTGTTTAAGGCGCCATCGATGGGGCCTTGTGGGTCAGTGCCATCACTCCAGACTGTGGCCGAGTATCGTGGCGCCGCCTCTAGTATATTGTGAACCACATCCAGTTTTTGAAGATCCTGGCATTCTTTTATCATGTCTTCTATTACAGCTACTTGATCGGGGGCACTGAATTCTGATGTGGGCTCAACATCTGTCAAGCTTTGTCTCCTGTTACTATTCTGAGGAAAAAAATATTCCTCAGTAGTTGATGCACTAATAACTTCTAGCCTGGTAAAATGATGGTTCAGTAGACTAGTCTCATTGCTAACACGGGGCAAATTACCTCCAACTAAAGCACCTAAACTTGGTTCCGCGTGACTGATGCTTCCTGCAATACTTTCTGCTGGTTGAAACCAGGCATTGTGTTTCGGATCACCTTGTAATGGCAGACATCTTGGGAAGTCAGCTTCACTCAGTGGGGCTGCAGAAGGAATCCCTCTCACGGGTAGCAATAAGGTGGCCAGGGAAGGTATCGAGGACGAATGTGGGGGAAGGATGGGGCTAAGGTCGTCCTCCAAGGGTCTAGTGGTGGTGATAAAGTGGAGCTCCTGAGCGGGGCTGCAAGGGCTCTCCACCAGTCTCCAGGTGATGTTAGCTGTGCGACTGGCATCCTCGCTGGCAGGACAGTAATGCAAAGCTTCCAACACCTGTAAGTAAGCCATGCCATCAACTATCACCTTGTTCACTTAACCAAATCTCAAACGACAACACTTGCTACAATGTCAGCAGATGCACACGACTGGCTCCCAAACTAGGATACCTACAGAAAGTATTTTTTTTTTTTTTACGAACTATATTAAATTCTATATGAACACAACCACACGCCTGTCTTATATATCATTACAGGCTTCTAGTATGCCAAATAGAAATTTTACTTTAAAACTAAAGTTGAGAAATGGTAACACACATAGGAGATCGCTTATTTGTGCCATGTACGACCCAACATTCACAAGAGCTTGTGTTCGTAACATTTATCAGAGTAAAGCAAATATTAACTATGCCGAAACGTTGCGGATGCTGCAGTACAAGCTACAGATGAAATGGTGGAGGTAGACCCCCATACACAGCTTTATGAACAGATATCATCAAGCTCATTGTCAGCCAAGCAGCAGGGCCGTGAACCGATATTCGGTCCCCGCAACCATAAATGAGCTTGCGTACACACACAAGAGAAGAGAAGCAAGAAAAAAATATAGCAGAGGTAATTACACAGGAATAGGAATAAATTATTATTATACATTATATTCAGGGGGTGGCATGAAGACCGTAAGAATCATACATCAGGTTTCAAGAAGAGCCGCTCAGTAAAGCTCAGTTGGAAAGAATAATGTAGGGTAAGACAGTACACAATTGAGAGGAAAGTTACTCAAATTCTGTCAAGAAGCAACAGGTTTATTTGAGAGGGCCCCTAGTTTACAAAAGGCTAAGATTATAAAGGCACAGAAAAGATATAGGAAAAGGAACTGGGCGGGTCTCTCCAGCAAGTTCCTGGAGAAACCCGCCAGCAGTCCTGTGTAGTGTCTACACTGGACTGCGTGGTGCTAACACCAAAAGCCTGACTTTTTCTAAGGAAAGAAATCAATATATCAATGCTCTACAAAACCGACAAGTTGAAGAATTAGTCATGTGTGCAACATCTGGAAATCTTTACTGAACTAGGCGAGTACACGTTGGAAGTACGTATCTCGCTTTCATGAAACTGAGGATCAAGCCTCCACAACGTCTTGCGTTGAATGGCACGTTTTGCATTTAACGAATAGTGTAAATCTTTATTTGTAGAAGTTTCCCCAACTAGTGACTATCAATACAAAGATGCAAACTGAAGACTGTTCTCCATTTCTCATGTGTATTTGACAAGCTATCCTGAGAGATGGCAGGTCCCAAGCGACTAACTCCAGCTATGCTGGAAGGAAGCCTCTGAAGCTTTCGTAGCTAATGAACCCTTGCTTAATACTTGGCGATATCCTTATTACACTACTGAAGTCTCCCCGCTCAGGCCGACATCTCAACACCTTGTATGAGTTCCATCCTTCGGGATGGAATATGACAGTAAAACAGCTAGCTTTTGTTCTTGCTGTGTAATTATTATATAGAATATGGTAGCAGCACACTGCTGATGTATAAAAGTTTGTTGGAAGGGGAATTGTCAGTCCCTTGACTGTCTTCTGCAAGGCGGAGGGACTAATTACCTCTTCTACAGTGCTCCGTTTATGTTTGTGTATTGTACGGATAGCCAACGGTTGGAGAAATGTCTACAAATAAAGATAGCCAGATGTGTCTAATACATCATCTGGCAAGAAAACAGAAGGCCTGGTGGGACCGGTCTGCAGGGGTAGTAACCCCACGGAAGTATCAACTGATAGAAGGTTCAATGAGGTATTTACTGAAGAATGAAGAATTTAGGCACGAGGAGGATGGGGCGAGGAAAAGGTGAGCGGGACAAAAATAAGAATTCGAGTAATATATTTATATGAAGTAGTAAACCCGTGTGGGTCATTCATTACTAGGAGTGGTATAGAGGCTTGATCCTTAGTCTGCTAAGAGCAGGACAAATTCCACTTTGCCAGGCAAGCTCAAGCACCATCACTACGTGATGTACCCTCCACACTGCGCAGTGCCACCCTGTGGCACCAGGCACACACAGGGAGGTACCAGTTACCCAGCCCCTGGTAACTCCCTCCTGCACACTTGTACCACAAAGCTGTGCTCTGGTAAATTAATTTCTCATGAGAATAAACTCCAGACAGTCTAACTTCTCTTTAGCTGGAGTTGCTATTTCATGTTCATCCATGTTGTATAAACGAACCTCGCCGGGCGAAATATCAGCCAGTAGTCAGTAAAGAAGCTTGTACGTCACAAGTGAAACAACCACCACAGCAGCAACAAGCCCACCACAACAGCAGCAACAACAAGCCCACCACAACAGCAGCAGCAACAAGCCCACCACAACAGCAGCAACAACAAGCCCACCACAACAGCAGCAACAACAAGCCCACCACAACAGCAGCAACAACAAGCCCACCACAACAGCAGCAACAACAAGCCCACCACAACAGCAGCAACAACAAGTCCACCACAACAGCAGCAACAACAAGTCCACCACGGCACCAACAACAAGCCCACCACAACAACAAGCCCACCACAACAGCAACAACAAGTCCACCACGTCACCAACAACAAGCCCACAAATATCCTGAGGAGGATAGTAACAAACTTTACGCTAGTGTAAGTAGAGGGACGGGGAGGTTGGCCATTCATAGAAGAAAAAAAAAAACATGGAAGACGAGGACAGAGATCAATAAAAGAGTCAAACAGTACAAGCATGGTAGTGAAAAACCACGTAACACTAACAAAGTATTCAAAAAAATGTTCATTACAGACGGTACCTTGATGTTACACGGGAAGTACAGCAGGAAGGAAAGAGAAAGAGGATAATCCATGATACTGAGGCGTTATTTGTAATATTTAAATTTTTCTTTTCATGTCATGCACAAAACCTCATCTTAATTACTCAACGCAAAGAATGGCGTACGCTCGATCTATCTGTTAATGATACGAGCAAGACAGAGGCTTCGCTTTCGTTGTACATATCTATGTACATTGCTCAGGTAGTGGTAACTGTCCCATGCGACATACAGATTGCTCGTGCACTGTCGGGGCTCCAGAAGTTGGCGTAGTTATAACCTTTCCTCTTGTAAACCCTTAAAGCAAGTTCGTAACAATTTAAATTTGTATGGGTACGTAGGGTAGTTTGTTTCGTAAATTGGGGGAACGAATTATCTTGCGTATGTCTACAGGTAATAGTCTAGATAATGTACGTCGCTGGCGAGGCATGTTTCAGAGGGTGAAGCCTCTTCTGAAACCAGTAATGAAGACTTGAGAGACTATTGTCTTACCTAATGTCATAGTAGTGTATAGATCGTTTTATCACATCCCCCCCTCGCAGTAACTTTACTTTCATTATTACTGTATATCTGTGTAATTTGCCAAGCATTATTTTCCCGATATTTAAATATTTATTAAGTGAAGTTTAAGTGGTGAAAAGTGCTTTACTGGGAAGTGAATGAGTTTGTTACACATGGTATAACCTTACCACCGTTCACGTACCACACTACCTATAACCCCCACCTAATATACCCACATCTATCGCCGTCCACATACACCTCATCTATTACCGTCTACACCCCCTCCCACCTACATACCTCCTTATTAGCGATGGAGCACTTGAGGACACCTTCCTCAGGGTCGTGGATGAAGGAGCACCTGGCACCGTAGCGACAGAAACCAGTCTGGTGGTACGACTGACAGTTCCTGGTTTTGTACTTGCCGTGATGGGACGCCCCCCGCAGCTGATGCAGACCATGGGCGTAGTTACACCTGCAACACACACGTTACTATTATTACAGACATGGGGAGAGTGGTAAGCCAGCAGGAGGAGGAACTACCAGCGGTATCATGAATAGCTAGAGACGGTCACACTCCATCTGCTGTAAAAAATCACTGGTTTGCCATCTTATAGAATATTACCAACACTTTTTTAATCACCATGAATGAGTTTGGAAGAGTCGACCAGTGTGCACGTGAAACAGTTAATAAATCACTTAAAGCACTATACCCGTGCGGGACGTTCAGCGCAAAGTAGCAGAGGCTCGATCCTCCGTCGGCTAACAATAATTGAAAGATGTATTTATATACTATTCTTGCAGAGCAACTTTTAAGAATTCACTGAATGCAAGAGCAGCATTTAAAAATACTGTTAAGCGTGACAATCTTCCAGCAGAAAAATACTTATTGCCTAGTCAAATGCAATATATAACTACTATTACCATAGAAAACCACTTCAAAGGAACGAAGCAAGACTCACATCAAGTGCAAAAAGGGCATTTAAATAATTCTGGGAAATACCTACATTTGAAACACTGGAAGCCTAGCTAGATCACACTAGTCTGTTGCTAGCTGATTCTTCACCACAACTACCACTCACTGTAACGATAACATCACTAGAAACAGCAATATTAACATCAAAAGCAGAAGCAGCAGGAACAGTTAGCAGCAGCAACAACGGTAGCATTCCTTCTACCTTTCCTACAAATGCTCATGACCGTTTTCGTAATGGGGTATGACACGCTTCTCCCCTTGTTCCATTCCGGCAGTAGCCGGAGGGAGTGGAGGCTGAGGAAAGATGACAGGAAGTTTGGTTACTTTGACCATGCACGCCATTCACAATTCTAGGCAATAAAATATTATATATATATATATATATATTATATATATATATATATATATATATTTTATAATAATTTTATTTTTCAACAAACAGAAGAAAAGTAAACTAAAAAAACAGCATGAATCAAACTTCCAATAAGTATCACATTAGTTAAAATAACCAAAATCAGAGGCTAATGTCATTAAATTATTTAAAATACACACAAGTTACAAGAGGTCCCTATAGGCACCTCGGTAATTATAAGAACTATGACGAAAGGTGTGGGCTAACTAAAAACGTGATTCACAGTTAGCTGCACATCTCATGCTACATAAGAGGGGGACAGGAACACCTGCGAACAGGTGGCTGTGAGGGAGATGGAGAGCGCTTGATATGCGTTCGACAGAGATTCGTCTCTTACAGGAGGGTGGGGAGAGAGCCTTCTGCTGTACTATCCTTGCTTCAATCTTATGGTAATAGTTGATGGTCCTCTGCAGATAAACTCGATGCGAACTAAAATGTACTTAATTATAGAACGGGTGGAGATTGAACTCACGGCAGGAAAGTTAAAATATATTTTGCCTTCTCCCGTGTATGCCCATGTACCACCACTACTACTAGCAAGGAACCCCATCCCCCACAACAACAACCAAGCACCACCAACCCTCCCCGATCACCTCCCCACCACCAGCAAGCGCCACCACAGGACCTACGGACGAGAGGTGCACACGCATTTCCACACACTTAAATATTAACTTTAAATTACTTGGGCTGCCAATCATGTATACATTGCGAGGTGCAGGCGTGACGTCACGTGTCCTGCGCTAGTTCCTAGTTCACATGAATTAATAAATTAATATATATATATATATATATATATATATATATATATATATATATATATATATATATATATATATATATATATATATATATATATAGTCGTGCCGAATAGGCAGAACTTGCGATGTTGGCTTAAAAAGCAACGCTCATCTTGCTATGTAAGACAAGTGAAAATTTGTGTATGCAATAATTTCGCCAAAATCATTTTGAACCTAACGAAAAAAAAAATATTTCACTGTATTTGTTTAGTATTAAATTATTGTAAACAAAACTAAAATATATATAGTTGGGTTAGGCTAAAATAAATTGTTCTTGTTATAATAAGTTAGGTAAGTTTTTAAGATTCTTTTGGTGCAAAATTAAAATTTTTAACATTAACATTAATGAAAAAAATATATCTTTAAACGTATAAGAGAAAATTTTAGAAAGGACTTAATTTTAAATGAGTTCTTGCTAATTGACCAGTTTTACATATTCGGCACGACATTATATATATATATATATATATATATATATATATATTTTATATATATATATATATATATATATATATATATATATATATATATATATATATATATATATATATATATATATATATGTGTTGCCTAATAGGTAAAACTTGCTATTGTGGCTTAAATAGCAATGTTCTTCTAGGTGAATAAGGCAAGCAAAAATTTGTGTATGCAATAATTTCGCAAAAATCATTCTGAGCCTAACGAAACAAAATGCTTCATTGTGTTTGTTATTAAATTATTGTAAACTTATCTAAAACATATTTAGTTGGATTAGGCTAAACTAAATTGCGCTTGTTATAATAAGGTTAGGTAAATTTTCTAATGTTCTTCTAGCACAAAATTATTAATTTTAACATTAGCATAAATTAAAAAAATATATATTTAAACGTACAAGAGAAAGTTTTAGAAAAGACTTAATTTTAAAAGAGTTCTTCCTGATTGACGTTTTACCTATTCGGCACGACACAATTTTCGGTCTCTCCATCTGAGACTGAGATAAATTTAAGCTTCACTGGGTTTCTCTATCTCTTATATTAGCTACCCTTCACCCCCCCGCCCTGCCAAGAGAAAGGAAAGAAAAAAAATTAATTTCACGTAAATACAGCTGAGGGTAACTAGACAATGGGTGCCTGAAGGAGTCTATGAAACGGGAGAGGTAACTGAAAGGGGTTTGCGTGAAGGGGACGACCACATTATGGTCGTAATAAAGTTGGTAGAATTACCGACAATATGTAAAGTAAAAGGACACAAGTGCAACTAATGTGACATTTTATTGTGGCAACGTTTCGCTCTCCAGGAGCTTTATCAAGCCGTAACGGCTTGATACAGCTCCTGGAGAGCGAAACGTTGCCACAATAAAATGTCACATTAGTTGCACTTGTGTCCTTTTACTTTACACATTAAGGTCCCTAAAGGGTAAGGTGTGCCTGAAAGAGGGAGCAGCAGCTTGAAGGTATCCCCCCCCCCGTCAGAGTGAGGGGCATGAAAGAGGGGGGGCTAAAGGAGAGTGCCCTAACAGAGGGAGGGTAGAAGCGAACCTGAATGGAGTTAGAGATTGTCTTAAATAGGGATGATGGGGCGATTAAAGGGGTAAAAATGGTCCTGAGAGAGGCGTGTCGGTGTAATAAAACTAGAATCGAGACTTCTGACAGAGCTCAAATGTCCCCAACGAGACTTAAGCACTGGGCGACTGACTGACGGCGCCATCACAGTTAACTGAGCCACCTGCGTATCGACAGTATATTTCAGACTGGCAACATTTCTGTGAGCGTGAAGGATGTTTAAAATTATTATTTTGAGATGTGCACACAAACTTGGAGATGAGAGAGAAGCGAGAGGAAAGTGAAGTTACTGAAGACTTTGAGGTAGATACAAACTAGAGGTTTCCTGGAAGAATCAATTTCATTGGAAATTAGAAGGCAAACCCGTGCAATATATATATGAGAAAAGTTGCTAAACATATTTCAGGAAGGCACCTACAGTCACTATCTCCAAAAAACAAGGGAATATAAGCAAAAATAATCAACTCATCCAGCAAATTTTAACATGCATTTCCCACATGCGGTTTGCAGCAAATTTCTCTATTTACGTTATTTAGGTTACTTAAAATAAAGAGGCCACAGTTTACAATGCTCATCGAGGGGGAGGGGGTTCAGAGAACCCTCAGTGCTTTAACCTACATGAATTCGCTCCCAACGTTATCAGTTTTCAACTATCTTTAATTACTATCAACATCAATTTGTTCTAATATCTTCTTAAACATGTTCACAGTAGTATGAGCAAAACATTTCAGCTGCCATATCATAAATAGTTAAAGGTTATAGGCAGTGTACGACAGCTAAATTTAATGATTATGTTGATGGGACTAAGGCCAGTCTTAGCCATTAGAGACGCACAGACCCCAGCACTAAGGTACAGTGACCCGGCGAGTGGGCAACCACGGTAAGGTGACCCATATTGAGGGGGGATGTGAAAAGGGGTCACCAACATAACTATTCACCCAGGAGAGCAAATGTTGTGACTGTCAATCCTCACTCACCTGAAGCCGTATTTGCAGTAGCCATGGACTTGGTAGGAACGACACAGTTCAGTCTTGTACTTCTCAGCGTCGAGGGGTATGAAGTTCTCCGCTCTGGTCCAATCTGGCCCTCGTTCCGAGCTGCTGTTACTGCTAATACTACTACTGCTCTGACTGTGAGGGTCTTCTGGGGTCTGCCTATCTGGCAGAGACGCACCAAAGTCATCCAAAGTGGGTAGCCAAGACTTCCGACGGGCCTGATGCAAGGAGAGGGGTGGTGGGGATGTGAATGTCACTGAAGAGAGAACAGGTACGAGTGTCCCAGGGCAGCAGGACGGGAGGTAGGTCCACTTCCACAGGCTTTTCTACACCAGAGCTGTACACCTGACCCTGAGATTACACAAGATTGAAAACACCTTGGATGACATTTGCAAAATCTTAAAATCAATCTCCTATGTCACCTACCCTAAAAATCTTGGGGCTATGTTCGATCTATTTTTGAATATGTAGAGCCGGTGTAGGACCCTGGTCTATTAAGAAAAAAAAACCTTGAGTGTGTGTACAAGGGTACATAAGGGCCAGGACACTCATGGCAACTTCATACCAGCTTCATACAATCAACGCTCCTGGATCAGTAAAGTATCCTTCAGTCTATTTCGGTGACGTAGCAAACAGATTAGCACAGCAGCTGAAGCCACAGACAAGTTATCTACACTACTGGCCTTGTTACATCCAGCCAAGAGAAATCTTGGATCAACACCCAGGAAAAGTGTGAGTTTCTCTAAGGAAAGGAGCTATCCCTTTTCAGTGAGAGCTGCTCCAACCTCAACCCAACACTAAGGTGACAGCGTCATGGGTTAAGTGGAATACTATGTTCGTGTAGATAACTACCAGATCCTAATCCCTGTACAGAAATTCCTAACTTAAAGTCGTCGATAGGGTCTTGGAAACTGCGACTTTAAAGGAAACGGCATATAACGAAACCAATTTTACCATAGGCTAATTGATATAAACAAGAATTAAGTTGCAGCCGAGAGGGAGGGCAGTAGTGCGGCAGACGCCATGATTATGGAGTGCGTCGCTCTAGGGAGCTGTTATTGACATTTTTATTATTTTAGGTATCATGTTTTTCAGAATTATATAAGAAACACGCTACATATCATAAAAACTGAACAAACAGCCATAAGGGAGGAAACTGACATACGAGAACATGGTGAATTAGGCCGATATATGTCCTCCATCCAGGTATTTACAACTTTCCATATTTTCCATTCTTGGCCAGGAATTGATTTCTTTTTTCTCATCAACGCTATAACGAAACGACGTTGAAAGAAACTACGCTAAGTGAGGGCTTCCTGTACCCCTCAGGAAGATAAAGTGAGTATTAAATTATACAGTTTGCCTTGCTATGTTAAGAAACTGCAATCGTTTACTTGTATGATAACTTCAAGGATGAAGAAAAAAAAATTTCCTTTCTTTTTTAATCAATCATATTTTGTACTGTTTTTTCTGGGATATTCACTTGATAAGTAATCACTTGAAGCCAGTGACCACAGGTAAGGGTATAGCCATTCAGCTAGGCTGAATGGCTGCAGGAAAGCAGTAATAGAAAGTGCGTGTCTGGCGCGCAGCAAACGGAGGATCAAGCCTCTACCACGTTTTGCGCTGAATGACCCACATGGGTTTAGCGCCTAACAAATTAATTAATTGTGGATGAGGACTAGAGATTACAAGAATAGTTACTCCGGTAATTACAAATGGGATTTACATACGTGTAACTCCACTGAACCTATTAGGAGAGAGTACCGGGGCCGTGAGAGAATGGAAATCGCCCAATAAGTATTAAGAGGATGTACCATGTTAAGGGGAGGGGGCCGAGTTGGCACTATACCTGCAGAATATCGGGGTGGAGGGTAACAGGGTGTTGGCACTATACCTGTGAGGAGACAGTGCCAGGTAGGAGCGTTGGAAGGATGTTTTCCTGTACTGGGGGAGGAGGAGCATACGGGGGTGAGTTGGGGTCACCTCTCCCCTGTACCAGCCCCTGGCTATGACCCAAGAGCAGACGGTCCAAGGCTGCCGCTGCTTCCTCCAGGGACATACCACGATCCACCTGCAGGGGTGAAGTCAATTAGTGGCAGCAGGAAGCAAAGATTAAACAACACTGCACTGGTAATAAAATATAAGAGGATAAAACTAAACCCACCCCCTCATACATTAAACCATGCTACTTTTCTATCTTACAAAACTAAACCTCCCCTCCCCATACGTTAAAGATCTCTCACCAATCCGATACAACTAACCTCCACCCATTCAGTAACAAGCGCACAATTTGACACTACGATATTAACCAGTTTGAAAATGAAATATACACTGAGAGTATATTGAAAACAAGGCTGAAAAGTTCACAAAGGTGCCTTGGGGCATCTTGGTGCCCACGGTGAGTGATAGCATATCCAGCACAGCCTGGCCCAGCCACACACATGAAAATCATGGGTATTATAACACGTATGGTAAATTTCCTACATGACAAGGGATTCTGTTAGCTTGTTAGGTTTCAAGCACACGTATCAATAAGGCTGACACGTGACTGCTTGAACACAAGCAGTCAGGAATATTTTAATCCCTCAAAAGGGAAGGAATGAAGTACACTCAATCCTCTGAAATACATACACACATCTTGATGTATATATTCCCATGGATGATAAGGTTCATGTAAAGTAAAATCAAACCAGTTTTAATACCTGAGAGAAGAAGAACGGTGTACGGAGCGTGTAGTGTTGCTGGTACAGTAACGTGGGTAAACAATGGTCTGGTGGTGTTGTGGTGAGTGTTGCTGGTGTCTACCACCAGGCTGCTCTCACTACCCACCCACATTACCATTTCTAATGAAACACAAAAAATATCTCTGATTGCCAGTTCAACATCACTAGGCAGCACTCATTATCTAGTCTTCCAACATGGTTAAAGTAAATTGTTAAAAACTATTTAAATGCTATTAGGATGAGTTAAATATGGCCGTGTTTCACTGACAACACTGGCAAATTCTACACAGGCATGAAAATCTTTTATGGTGCTTGCACGATCACTAGGCTACACTCGTCACCATAATCAACATTCCATTACCTACGTCCTTATTTACAGTGAAACAGTTTAAAACATATATTTAAATACTATTACAAAAAGTTAAATATTGCGATTCTTCACAGACCACACTTACCATTGATAAGTTTAATATTACCAGTCTATGCATAGAACCCGCTCCACCAACAATCAATTAGATCTTGATACAAATTTGCAATGAAAGGGTTATTTGAACCCTCAAGGGAGGTTCCTTGACGCTGGTGAGGGGCTGTTGATCTAGGGAATTGGATCTGTGCTCCAGTTCCCTGAATTGCGCCTGAATACCTTCCATCCACTCCCCCCCACATGCGCTGTACAATCCTACGGGTTTAGAGCCCCTCCATAATTATAATAATATAATAATAATATAAAATGGATTTAAATGCTATGATACGAGTAAAAATACCGGCATGCTTCACTCTGGAGGGTTAAAACTACCCAGCAAGTTATTGTTTTGAGTTTCAAGTCTATTGACTACCCGAGGATCATTAAGGCTGCATGTATATATATATATATATATATATATATATATATATATATATATATATATATATATATATATTATATATATATATATATATATATACATATATATATATATATGCAATAAGATCACAGTAAACAGGTGATTTCAGAATATGCAAAACAACCACTCTGAAAGACTAGAGAAATTCCAAGCGCTTTCGTGACTACTCACATTATCAAGGAACTGTGAAAGTAAAGCATCCAAGGAAGGTATATAAGGGGGTCTGGCCAACACCTCACTATCAGATCCCACAACGGTAAAACACCTGACGCGCGCCGGCCCAACTGGACAGGTCCTTTGCACAACCACCAACAAACTATTCTACCCAAGAAAATTTTTAAAATTATTATTTGTCCAGTGTATTATTAAATTCTTCCCAAATTCTATTAATTATAAATGGATCTAATTTATATAAACCAAAGGAAATATTCATATTATTGTCAAAACTGCTTTTTATGAAACAACATTCAATTATATTCCTGTCGACCATGGACTTGCTTGATACTACTTTCTCAACTTTTTGAAAATCAATTGGATGGTTAAAATCTCCAATTTATTTATTCATGTAAGAGATTTTAACCATCCAATTGATTTTCAAAAAGTTGAGAAAGTAGTATCAAGCAAGTCCATGGTCGACAGGAGTATAATTGAATCTTGTTTCATAAAAAGCAGTTTTGACAATAATATGAATATTTCCTTTGGTTTATATAAATTAGATCCATTTATAATTAATAGAATTTGGGAAGAATTTAATAAAGACGGGAAGTTCCAGAGATGGGACACAGACACAAGAGGTCACAATTGGAAGTTGAAGACTCAGATGAATCAAAGGGATGTTAAGAAGTATTTCTTCAGTCATAGAGTAGTCAAGCCGTGGAATAGCCTAGAAAGTGAAGTAGTGGAGGCGGGAACCATACATAGTTTTAAGGCGAGGTATGATAGAGCTCATGGAGCAGGGAGAGAGAGGACCTAGTAGCAATCAGCGAAGAGGCGGGGCCAGGAGCTATGACTCGACCCCTGCAACCACAAATAGGTGAGTACAAATAGGTGAGTAAACACACAACACACAACACACACCTACACACCTACACACCTACACACCTACACACCTACACACCTACACACCTACAACAGGTCTAGTGTCTAATCGACATGTGCCTAGGACAAAATGGTAACTAACTAACACACGCATCATACACACACACGCATCACACACACACACGCATCACACACACACACGCATCACACACACACACACGCATCACACACACACACACGCATCACACACACACACGCATCACACACACACAACATCACACACACAACACACATCACACACACACAACACACACACATCCACACACACAACACACTAACATACACCCAACTTTCAACAAACACACACACACACACACCCACACATATCAAAACATTAACACCAACACATCCAACACAACACACACACACACACACACACACACACATACACACACAACACACACACACATAACACAACATCTCACAACACACAATACACATGCTAACAACAACAACAGCCTATGTCTAATCGACATGGCCTGGACAAAATGGTAACTAATCACAAACCAACACACACTCACAACACACACACCAACACAACACCACACACACACACACACACTACAAAACACCACACACACACACAAGCGTGACACACACCAACAACAAACAGACACGATGTAGTGGAGGCAGGATCCATACATAGTTAAGCAGAGGTACGATAAAGCTCACGGCTCAGGGAGAGTGACCTAGTAGCGATCAGTGAAGAGGCGGGGCCAGGAGCTCGGACTCGACCCCCGCAACCTCAACTAGGTGAGTACAACTAGGTGAGTACACACACACTAAGGACACTAGAGGACAGTTGCCTTTTCTGGACGTCTTGATCTGCAGGAATGATGATAAACTTGATTTCAAGGCACACCGCAAACCCATTAACAAAAATGATATACCGCACTATGAGATCACGACGACGGGACAAAACGTGGGACTATTATTGGTTTCTTTCCGAGGTCTCACGGGATATGTTCATCACCAACATTCCTCGAAGAAGAATGCGACGACATTAAACAAAACCTTCCTGAAACTTTGTCATCCACAACACTTCATTACTGACTGCAAGGGAGAAGAACGGAGACGATACTACACAATTCAAGATTCCAACCCCTAGCAGATTTATAGTTGTACATGTCAACAACACATGCCATAACCTCTCCAAATAATTAACCAAAGCCAATACCTATATTGCCATCATCGTCTCCATCACCATGAAAGGCTTAATCACAAAGAAAAAATGCATCTTAAGAGACAACACAATAAGTGTCAAGGGCCCAAGATTGTTCGTTGATCAGGCTCTGATCCACCACGAGGCCTAGTCACAGACCGGGCCGCGGGAGCGTTGATCTTCGAAACCCTCTATACGTATACTCCAGGTATCCAGTGACACCACTGCCGGTGTCTACCTGATACCACTGTGGAAATTGTAAAAAGTTTTACGTTGGTGAAACTTTTAGATACTTAAATACGAGGATCAAAAGTGTTTGCCAGAGAGACGACATGAACGACGCCTCTGCTATTAAGTACCAAACTGGCCATCAAAGAAGCAGAGAGATGGAATCGACTTTGCCTACAACCTGATCGCTACCACTAACACCATCACTCAGAAACCAGGTGCATTACTCTTTTATATAGCATGGGTCAAACTTATTCGCCCCGGATATGACACTGAGGCCAGCCTACTGACTCACCAGACTCTGAACTCTGAAGTTCCTCCTTGGCTGAGCACATTACCGCACGTAGGCGACATTATCACTCACACACCTCAACACCTCACGTCTCTCCACTGTATATGATATATTTCTACCCATCTCTGTAAGGAGTAAAGTCCCTGGTGGGCGAAACGTCATCTTAATAAAATGCTGTGAACCACATATTGTGCTATATTACCTAGAGTTTACCTGGAGAGAGTTCCGGGGGTCAACGCCCCCGCGGCCCGGTCTGAGACCAGGCCTCCTGGTGGATCAGAGCCTGATCAACCAGGCTGTTGCTGCTGGCTGCACGCAAACCAACGTACGAGCCACAGCCCGGCTGATCCGGAACTGACTTTAGGTGCTTGTCCAGTGCCAGCTTGAAGACTGCCAGGGGTCTGTTGGTAATCCCCCTTATGTGTGCTGGGAGGCAGTTGAACAGTCTCGGGCCCCTGACACTTATTGTATGGTCTCTTAACGTGCTAGTGACACCCCTGCTTTTCATTGGGGGGATGGTGCATCGTCTGCCAAGTCTTTTGCTTTCGTAGTGAGTGATTTTCGTGTGCAAGTTCGGTACTAGTCCCTCTAGGATTTTCCAGGTGTATATAATCATGTATCTTTCCCTCCTGCGTTCCAGGGAATACAGGTTTAGGAACCTAAAGTGTGAATATACAGAGAGATGGACGGGAGGTTCGAACTGTGGTCCCGTCCATCTCTCTGTCTATACACTTGACAGTCGTTTATTACCACTTAATCTGACTTCATCTGCAGTGTGTTGTTCCCCTGGTCTTTCTCCACCTCTCCCCTCCCCCTCCCCCTCCCCTCCCCTCCCCTCCCCCTCCCCCCCCTCCCCCTCCCCCCATCCCCCCTCCCCCTCCCCCCTCCCCCTCCCCTCCCCCTCCCCCACCCCATTCCGCTTCTAACCCCTTCCGCCCCTCCCCCTCCCATCTCCCTCCCACCTTCGCTTCCTGGATGAATATTATGTCTGGTTATTTACGACAAGAAATTTGCATAAAACACACCCGACTGTGAGACATTATCGTCAGCGTCGCGAGAGAGACTGTGAGACTATATCACCTGTGACTGAGAGACTATATCACTGTGACTGAGAGACTATATCACCTGTGACTGAGAGACTGTATCACCTGTGGAAACCTTGATGAGGACTGTATCACCTGTGACTGAGAGACTGTATCACCTGTGACTGAGAGACTGTATCACCTGTGACTGAGAGACTGTATCACCTGTGACTGAGAGACTGTATCACCTGTGACTGAGAGACTATATCACCTGTGACTGAGAGACTGTATCACTTGTGACTGAGAGACTGTATCACCTGTGACTGAGAGACTGTATCACCTGTGACTGAGAGACTGTATCACCTGTGACTGAGAGACTGTATCACCTGTGACTGAGAGACTGTATCAGCTGTGACTGAGAGACTATATCACCTGTGACTGAGAGACTGTATCACCTGTGACTGAGAGACTGTATCACCTGTGACTGAGAGACTGTATCACCTGTGACTGAGAGACTGTATCACCTGTGACTGAGAGACTGTATCACTTGTGACTGAGAGACTGTATCACTTGTGACTGAGAGACTATATCACCTGTGACTGAGAGACTGTATCACTGTGACTGAGAGACTGTATCACCTGTGACTGAGAGACTGTATCACCTGTGACTGAGAGACTTATCACCTGTGACTGAGAGGACTGTATCACTGTGACTGAGAGACTGTATCACCTGTGACTGAGAGACTGTATCACCTGTGACTGAGAGACTGTATCACCTGTGACTGAGAGACTGTATCACCTGTGACTGAGAGATGTATCAGCTGTGACTGAGAGACTGTATCACCTGTGACTGAGAGACTGTATCACCTGTGACTGAGAGACTGTATCAGCTGTGACTGAAAGACTGTATCACCTGTGACTGAAAGACTGTATCACTGTGACTGAAGACTGTATCACCTGTGACTGAAAGACTGTATCACCTGTGACTGAGAGACTGTATCACCTGTGACTGAAAGACTGTATCACCTGTGACTGAGAGACTGTATCACCTGTGACTGAAAGACTGTATCACCTGTGACTGAGAGACTGTATCAGCTGTGACTGAAATTCTGCATCAGCTGTGACTGAGAGACTGTATCACCTGTGACTGAGAGACTGTATCAGCTGTGACTGAAAGACTGTATCACCTGTGACTGAGAGACTGTATCACCTGTGCTAAAGACTGTATCACCTGTGACTGAAAGACTGTATCACCTGTGACTGAGAGACTGTATCAGCTGCGACTGAAACACCGTAGCACCTGTGACTGAGAGACTGTATCACCTGTGACTGAGAGACTGTATCAGCTGTGACTGAAAGACTGTATCCCCTGTGAGTGAGAGACTGTATCACCTGTGACTGAAAGACTGTATCACCTGTGACTGAGAGACTGTATCACCTGTGACTGAGAGACTGTATCACCTGTGACTGAGAGACTGTATCACCTGTGACTGAAAGACTGTATCACTGTGATGAAAAGTGAACTGTATCCCTGTGAGTGAGAGACTGTATCACCTGTGAAAGACTGTATCACCTGTGACTGAGAGACTGTATCACCTGTGACTGTGAGACTGTATCACCTGTGACTGAAAGACTGTATCACCTGTGACTGAGAGACTGTATCACCTGTGACTGAAAGACTGTATCACCTGTGACTGAGAGACTGTATCAGCTGTGACTGAAAAGCTGTATCAGCTGTGACTGAGAGATTGTATCAGCTGTGACTGAGAGACTGTATCAGCTGTGACTGAAAGACTGTATCAGCTGTGACTGAGAGATTGTATCAGCTGTGACTGAGAGATTGTATCAGCTGTGACTGAGAGATTGTATCAGCTGTACTGAGAGATGTATCACTGTGACTGAAGACTGTATCACCTGTGACTGAAGATCTGTATCAGCTGTGACTGAGAGATTGTATCACCTGTGACTGAGAGATTGTATCAGCTGTGACTGAGAGATTGTATCAGCTGTGACTGAGAGATTGTATCAGCTGTGACTGAGAGATTGTATCAGCTGTGACTGAAAGACTGTATCACCTGTGACTGAGAGATTGTATCAGCTGTGACTGAGAGATTGTATCAGCTGTGACTGAGAGACTGTATCACCTGTGACTGAGAGATTGTATCAGCTGTGACTGAAAGACTGCATCACCTGTGACTGAGAGACTGTATCAGCTGTGACTGAGAGACTGTATCAGCTGTGACTGAAGACTGTATCACCTGTGACTGAAAGATGTATCACCTGTGACTGAGAGACTGTATCACCTGTGACTGAGAGACTGTATCACCTGTGACTGAAAGACTGTATCACCTGTGACTGAGAGACTGTATCAGCTGTGACTGAAAGACTGTATCAGCTGTGACTGAAAGACTGTATCACCTGTGACTGAGAGACTGTATCACCTGTGACTGAGAGACTGTATCACCTGTGACTGAGAGACTGTATCAGCTGCGCCACTGACATATTCTCGAGACGGAAGATTCAGGAACTAGCGACCCTAATGGAAATAAGCCACCTTTCTTGGGTTAACTTTCCTGGGTTACCCTGTGTTGTTAACTCTCCTGGGTTATTCTGGCTTGTTAATTCTCCTGGATTATCTTGATTTGTCACTCTCCTGGGTTATCCTGTATTGTTAACTCTCCTGGGTTATCCTGGTTTAACTCCTGGGTCACCCTGGCTTATTAGCTCCTCTAGTTTATCCTGGGTTGTTGACGCTCTTTTCATAATAATCCCAGTAAAGTATCTTTCATGAAGAGGCAACACTTGTATACGATAAAGATACATAAAGATAGATATAGATAGACAGAGATAAATAGAGACATAAGATGGTAATCCTTATTAATTAAGAATTGAGGTCCCAAATAAAGTGTAATAAAAATATCTGTTATAGCTAAGTGTACAACACAGCAGCATTAATCTTCAGCACGGAGACGTCAGCATGGGGACGTCAGCATGGGGACGTCAGCATGGGGACGTCAGCATGGGGACGTCAGCATGGGGACGTCAGCATGGGACGTCAGCATGGGGAGTCAGCATGGACTCAGCATGGGGACGTCAGCATGGAGACGTCAGCATGGGGAAGTCAGCATGGGGACGTCAGCATGGGGAAGTCAGCATGAGGACGTCAGCATGGAGACGTCAGCATGGGGACGTCAGCATGGGGAAGTCAGCATGGGGACGTCAGCATGGAGACGTCAGCATGGAGACGTCAGCATGGGGACGTCAGCATGGGGACGTCAGCATGGGGACGTCAGCATGGAGACGTCAGCATGGGGAAGTCAGCATGGGGACGTCAGCATGGGGAAGTCAGCATGGGGACGTCAGCATGGGGAAGTCAGCATGGGGACGTCAGCATGGAGACGTCAGCATTCGATGGGACGTCAGCATGGGGACGTCAGCATGGGGACGTCAGCATGGAGACGTCAGCATGGGGAAGTCAGCATGGGGACGTCAGCATGGGGAAGTCAGCATGGGGACGTCAGCATGGAGACGTCAGCATGGGGAAGTCAGCATGGGGACGTCAGCATGGGGACGTCAGCATGGGGACGTCAGCATGGAGACGTCAGCATGGGGAAGTCAGCATGGAGACGTCAGCATGGGGAAGTCAGCATGGAGACGTCAGCATGGGGAAGTCAGCATGGAGACGTCAGCATGGGGAAGTCAGCATGGGGACGTCAGCTTGGGGAAACCAGCATGGGGAAACCAGCATGGAGACCTCAGCATGGGGAAGTCAGAAAGAGGAAACCAGTATGGAGACGTCAGCATGGGGAAGTCAGCATGGGGACATCAGCATGGGGAAGGCAGCATGGGGAAACGGCATGGAGACGTCAGCATGGGGAAGCCACCATGGGGACGTCAGCATGGGGAAGCAAACATGGGGACGTCAGCATGGGGACATCAGCATGGGGAAGCCAGCATGGGGACGTCAGCATGGGGAAGCCGACATGGGGACGTCAGCATGAGGACGTCAGTATGAGGTTGTC